CCTGACGAGATGGTGTGCACAGGCGAGGCTGCCTGGAGCTGGGGGAGCCAGCAGAAAGGCCAGGGTCGGGGGCCTGCGGGCCAAGGAGGGTCGTGGGGAGCCAGTCGTGCTGGGCAGGACAATGCAAGGGGGCAGACTCCAGCTCTGAGGCTGAGGCAAGAGGGTGGCAAGACAGCCCAGCCTGCAACTTAGTGAGACTGTCTCAAAAGAAAGAATAAGACAGGGGCTGAGGATCTAGCTCCGTGCAAAGGCCCCCAAAAGCAGAAATGGGGTAGGGTCAGGGAGTAGAAATGACCAAGAGGTGCTGTGTACAGGTACCAGTTCCCATGGTGAAAGTGATCAGTGTGTATTGCAGACAAACCCGGCTCTGGCTGGAGTGGAGCTTGGGCACGGTGGGCTCTTCTCGGCCCCTGCTGCCCCTCAAGGCCTCACCACGTCCCACAGGCCAGGACACACACACACACGTGCACACACACACACACACACCCCGCTGCAGGCCCTGCAGATGCCGTGGTCCCTGCTGGAGCTGCATCAGGCAAACGGTGGCGCCACCACGAGGACCTGCCCAGGTGGCTGCCAGGACAAGGCTGCCCCTCCCTGCCACCTCAGGGTTCTGGGCACTGCTGGGCCACGGTGGGCAGCAGGAGAGACGGCCCCCATTCATTCGTTTGTTCGTTCATTTGTGTATTTACTCGAGCTTCAGTGCTGCGGTCGCTTCCCCCCAAGTTTGCAGCTTTCTCGGGGTCTCTGAGGCCTCCAGAGCACAGGGGGGACTGAGGGCGGGGCGGGGCTACACCGGGGCTCCCGGCTCCCTGGGTGCCTGACCTGGGCCTGGCTCTGTCCTCTCCCTGCCCCCATGGCCTGGGACCCTCGGCCATCCGTGCGCCTGTCCTCGCCTGCATCCTGCGCCCACCCTTCCTGCGCCGCAGGGTCCCTGGTTCCTCTGTTCCGGGGACCCCTCCCGCTGGGGTCGGTCTGTCCCCAACGCCCCCTGCACAGCACTTCCAGGAGCACAAGGAGTTGCTGGGTCTGGCCTTCCCTTGCTTTCTGGCCTTGGTGACGGTGTCTCCCGTGACCCCCACCTGGCTCTTCCCAGACAAACAGGGCTGGCTTTGGTGCCCTTGACGAGAGGGTTTGAACCTGGACCCGGGCACGGAGGCGTGCAGCTGCCAGGGCCCGGGAAGAGGAGGAGAGGCAGACAAGGCAGGGGCTGGGGGCTGAGGCCAGTGACAAAGGCCTGAGCTGACCCTTCTGGGCCTGGACTCCACCATGAGAGGCCCTGGCTGGGCTCAACTGTGGGGCTCTCTGGCCTCAGCCTCCCAGAGCGCTGGGATTAGAAGTGTGTGCCACTGTTTTCACTTTTAAATACCCTTGAGCTCTTTTTCAAATCGGCCCTGTATTTTCCTCGTTTTCTTGGGCTGATGCTCTCATTTCCTTCATGCTGTTGGTACTCGTTTTCTGCTCTTGTTCTCGGCCTTTGTCCTGTGGGCCACACCCTTTGGCGTCCCAGGCCTCTGTGGCTGTTGGTGGCCTGGTCCACGCTTTGTCTTTTTCAGCAGGACAGACCACGCTAGCACGGGGGGCTGGGCGTCCTGCCCCGCTGCAGATGAAGCCCCCTCTGTGCCCGCAGCCCTGTGTTGGCCAGACAGGGACAGCTGCCTTGCCCTCCGTGGCTGGAGGTCTTTTCTGGCCACCTTTCCCAGCTCCTCCTTGGCTCCTGTGTGGAGCCTGAGCCCTCCCCAGGGTGGGCCTCCTGCCCGCCTGGGCTCTCTGTGCGTCTCGCAGCGTGCGGCAGCCCTGGGGCCCTCACCCCACGTTGGCACCTGAGCCCTGGGGGCCCCAGTCTTTCTCTGGCCGGGTTCCAGACCTGGCCAGAGCAGTGAGAAGGGCCACTGTGATGAGGGAGCCTGGAGCCCCAGCCGTGGTCCTGGCCCCGGCCACATGAGGGGTCCCCATGGCCCCTCACCCTGCGTCAGGGCTCAGGCCCAGTGCATGGCCCGGCTTGGCCACAGCCCTGGGGGGGAGGGTGGCATCCCACACCCTCCTGGTCCCAAGGCTGGTGTCCGGTGCATCTCCCCCGTCTCCCTCTCTGTGTCCACAGTGACTTGGCCTTTGCCTGTTGCGAGGGGACCATCCCATTTCTGGGGCCTGGGAGGTGGCAGCTGCCAGGCTGCACTGCGGGTCTCTGAGCGGGTTCTGGGCCTTCGAGGGGGAGCGAGCAGAGCCCAGGCCCAGCAGCGGCAGGCAGCGACCTTGTGGATCATGTGCCCCTGACAGCCCGTCCCTCTGCACCAGGGCTTCAGGTGGAGGCCGTGTCCAGTGCAGTCCCTGTGCCCTCAGGTGAGGCTCACGGGGCAGACGGGACCTGACCCTACTCTTGATAGAAAGGGCTCCCTGTGCCTCGGTGGGCAGCCCTGTCATCTTTGGCTCTCTAGGTCTTCTGCAGGGCAAAGAAGCGGCTGTGGCTCACCCTCGAGGCCTCTCCTCCCCTCCCTGGGGAGCTGGCAACACCCCCACCTCCCCAGGCCTGGCCGCAGTGTGCAGGACAGGGGCCCTGGGAGTGGCCCCAGACCTCTTGGATGAGCAGGTGGCTGGTGCTCCCAGCCCTAGGGTGACGTCTGGTGGCCGCCCCAGGGCCTGTGCAGCCCAAGAACATGGGGACTCTGCCTCAGCCAAGCACCAAGTTGTCACCCTGTCCCGCTAGGGACCTTGCAGTCCCTCCCTCAGGGGGAGGACCACAAGGAGCTGCAGGAGTCCACAGGGCTCCGGGGCTCTGCCGGCTCTGTAGTCATGTGGGGTTTACGTCCAGAGGATGGAAGCTGGAGACTGCAGGAGCCTGTTTTCTCCTTTCACTTTGTTTCTCAAATCTGCAGTTCAGAGATGGAAAAGCAAGTGGAAGCAGCTCTGCAGTCTGGGCTCTGGCCCTTTCCCTTTGCTCCGAGGCTCACTGGACCGAGGGGCCTGGCCGCCCTGTGCTCAGGTGCCCTCTGCGGATGAGGCCCGGTGAACCTGTCCTGGTGGCCACCTCAGCCCTTTGTCTGGCAAGGACAAGACCCTGCCTTTATGGGGTAATTAGTGCGGACAATGACCGCCGCCTGGTGGCCCCAGGGACCAGTGGAGCAGAAGGGAATCTCAGTGGCATGAAAAGTCACGGGAGGGAGGCGTGGGTGGTGGCTGAATAGCGACAGTTACCTTCTGAATAGATTAAATTTTAAAATCTCCATGGGGGGGGCTTGGCGGGAGTCAGAGTGACAATGAGGTTTTGTGTCTCTGCAGCGCCGGGAGGAAGCCCGGCGGGGGTTTGCTGCCCTGGACGGCCTGTGGGCTGGACTGCTGGACCTGCTGGAGGCCTGCGGGGCCCAGCGGGCCGGGGCCCTCCCTGGAGGCCTGGGTCATGACAAGCTTCAGCACCGGCTGCAGGCACAGAGTTCCCCCACTTCCTGTCTTCCTGGCCGGGCCACCTGGCACCAGCCCGTGTCCCAGCCGGGATGGTGCCCCTGCTTCAGGGATCCATGCCCCTCAGTGAGCCTGGCCCTCAGGTCCCCCAGGGCAGCCCAGAATGGATGCAGCTGCAGGCCCACCCCCTCGGGGTCCTCACCCAGAGCCCCCAGTCCAGCAGAGCCACTGATCAGCATCTTCCAGCTGCAGACACAGACACGAGCGCCCGCATGGGTGGTGTCCACTGTCTCCTTCAGGAGGGCAAGTTCAAGGAACCGAGTGGCCATGCCGCCCAGATGTGTGGAGCAGGCTCCTTCGACTCCTGCATGTGATGTCAGGGACAGGAGCCACCATGGGCTGTGGGAGACCTGGCTCCCAGTGAGGCCTGGGAACCAGCTCAGCCACACACTGGGCATGAGCTGCAGGACCCCTCACTGCCTGACCAAGGCAGATGCCAGACCCCTGCCCCTGCTTTCCAGAGTCCCTTCTTCCTCAGGACGTCTCCTGGCATGCAGCCATACTCCCTCCTGGCCTTTGGCCCTTCATGTCATTTGCAGCGTAGGGTGGAACTGCCTCCCCGAGTGACTCTCCCACCTCTGCCCCTCCTGGGTCACCCATTACCCAGTATGGGTATCGCCTGGCTGTGAGCTAGGAACAACCTTGGCCTGAGAATGGCAATGAGCCCCTGAGAAAGGCCATGGGCAGGGCCTAGGGGAGCTTCCGTGACATCCCCTGCCCCCATGTAACCCATGCCCAGCCAGCACGGCAAGAGGGCCTCCACTGGACTGGGATTTGGCAGCCAAAGGCTTCCAGGAGAGCCAGTGGGGCCGTTGGAGCCATGGTGGGCTCTGAGTCGGCCTCGTGACCGTGGCTGGCTCCTGTGTAAGCCCAGAAGGTCCCAAGAGCAAGGCTGGGCTCTGAAGTCCTGCATGCAGGTGTCCCAAGCCTGGCCCAGAGCACCTGGCAGTGACTCAGGTGTGCAAGGGACAGTGGGGAGCGGTAGGGCCTGCGGCAGGCAAGATGCTGCAGCTCTCAGGCACCGGCTGTCCTGAGCTGAGTCAGCCTACACCCACTGCCTGCAGGGCCTCGACCAGCCCCTCCAGGGTCAGTGCACAGGGGCTGCTGCCCCTGCTCTTGGGTTCAGGCACCAGGTCTGGGCCTCCCTGGCTGGTCTGTCCTGGGGAAGTGGCCCTGGTCACTGTCCTTCTTGCCCCCAGCCTCCTCTGCTGGCCTCAGAGGCGCCGAGGCTGACATGGCTGCACCCCGGAACAATGTGGGCCGTGGCCTCCCTCGCGTGGCCAGGCACAGGCGGGGAGCCGGGTGCGGTGTGGACGAAGAAGCCGGGCTAGTGTTTCGGGCCTCTTCTGTTACGCTCAGCCTTTCAAAGAGTGTCTGGGCTTCTGAATGCACCTCCCTCCGCTCCGAGCTGGCGTCCCCACACAAAAGGGGCTCTTGTCCCTCACCGGCCCCTTCTGCAAAGAAAAGCCATTGTCCCCAGCGGGGCCGCCCGGCAGGCGGTGCACGCTCCACTGCCCACCGCCGCGCTCAGCGAGAGGGGCCGCATTCAGGCCTGTCCGCTCGGATTAGCAGGCGCTCACGACTCAATGTGCCGCGATATTTCATGTCCAGCGCAGCGGCTGGCCCCGGGTAGGATGAATGGCTGCTTTTGTTCACTGAGTTATTTTATTTACATTTTTTAAACAGCTTATCAAGGTAAAAAGATAGCTTGGCTTTAAGGGGGGAAGGCCCCCTTGGCTCCAGGCCCACATGGAGGTGGAAGGCGAGGCAGGCACTGGGGTCCTCGGCTGGCCTGGGCACCTGTCCAGCCCTCCTGTCCCTCACTCAGCGTGGGGACCCTGGGCACCAGGGACTGCTCCTCCCGAGAGTTTCCCAGCGGGCTGAAGGTTCCCACAGCCCCAGGTCTGCCCTGCCTTCCTCGGAGCACTTCCTGCCCTCGGGGTGGCAGCGGTCAGGAGAGGGCACAGGGGCACAGTGGGCCCGTTTGTTGCCTCTGTCCTCAGGCTGTCCTGGTGCTGGGCCCCTCCCTGGGCCCAGCGTAGCTGCCGGCCGGTGCCTGGGCCCGCAGTGATCTTCCTACAGGCAACATGCTGTGGGCTGTCGTGAGCTCAGTGTTGCCCCGAAGCAGTGCCCACAGGCTCACTGCACCCCGGAGCTGGAGGAGCTGGTTCTGTGCCCCTCCTGTCCCCGGTTACCAAGGCGGCCCCAGCAACGCTGGGCCCCTGGCTGTGGCTGGATAGACTGGGCGGGCTCCCCCCTTGTCCAGGCGCTGCCCAGCCGTGGGCAGCAGAACCCCCGGGGCTGCAGGACAGAGCGAGCAGGGTGGGGGCCCAGGCCTGCTGGCCACACCCTATAGCCACCACCAGGGCCACCTGGCCTCCAGAGGCAGCCTGGGTGCACACAAAGCTCCTGCCCAGACAGTGGACTCCTGGGCGTCCATGCCCAGGGTGTTGGGCACCTGAGCCTGTGACTGTGCCCCTGGACAGTGAACTGCGTGCCTGGCACAGCCTGCACCCCATGCCCCCCGAAAGGCAGAAGGGTCTTTGAGGGGGAGGCCCTGGGGTCATGGCTGGGAGCAGGTAAGGCAGAGGTGCGAGGGTGACTTTGCTCCCTCTTCCCCCCAGGGGGCCTGTGCCTGGCTCCCAACGTTCAAGGTGTCCAGTTGGGGCCGGGCAGTGAGGCTGACAGCTGCTGTCCACTCGGGCTGTAGGGGCCAGGCTGGGGGGCGCCTCCTCAGCTCCCGCAGCTCCGGGGGTTTCCGACCCAGAGAGGCCCAGAGCCCTCGAGTGAGGGTGGGGCAGGCCTCGCCTGGGCGTCCTGCACAGCCCTGCAGCCTGAACCCTGGCCCTGTGCCCCTCCCACGCCCTGTACCGCATGGGTCCTGGCGGAGGCAGAGTCTGCTGGCCCTGGGCCAGACTGCAGAGGCCCCAGGTCAGCCCTGCACAGGCAGAGGCCCCCGGCCCTGCCCCCGGCTCAAGTCCCAGGACTGGACGAAGAGCAGAGCAGAGCCTTTCCCAGGGCGCTATTTTGGTCTCTGAGCAGCCGGGTGGGGCGCCAAGCTGCTCCCGGGCTGCTCCGTTACTTTTGCTCATAATGGGAACTTGATGTATGGAAATTATTAATAGCACTGTGAGCCTGTGGTACGTGCGGGTGGTCAGGGCCCGGCACGCTCTGCCCAGCAATGAGAAGGCCCAAGAGCCACGATGCATGCTGAGGCTGGAGTGTGGGCTCCAGCTCCCTTCGCCCCATTGAGGCTGCTGCAGGCTGCACATGGCTGCCCAGGGAGCTCGGGTCAGTACTGTGGCTGCATCAGAGCCTGGGCGCCTCTGCCCACGCCCACCCCAGCCAGGGTCTCACCGCTCAATCAGGGCTCAGAGGGTCCCCGGGCTCAGGAGGTGCCATGTGAAGACCACTGGCCCACCCTGCAGCCCGTGGGTCACAACCTGGGCCCTCTCAAGGCTGGGGGACAGGAGGCTCAGGCTGGGCTGTGCCTGCAGCAGTCGTGGCAGGGCACAGGGTGGGAGCCTGCAGTGCTGGCCCCTCTCCGCTTTAATCCGCCCTCTTTGTGTCGCCAGGCAGTCATGCTGGGCACAAAGCTGAAACTGCGGCCAGAACTGGATATTGAAAAGGTAAATGTCTTTCTCATGCAAATTGTTTAGGTTGAATTTGGATAAACCCCAGGTCTCCAGAAACAGCTTGGTGGGGGCATGGAGGGCAGGGGCTGCCCGAGGTCAGTGTGGGTGCAGAGACCCTCGGGCTGGGCATCCCAGAGCCTCACCAGGCTCCAAGGTCCCGGCACCTGTGGGCTGCTCAGATCTGGCCCCGCTCCAGGAAGGCACCGGCAGGGTTGTGCCCAGGGTGGCGGCAGACTCGAGCACTTGCCCTTCACCCTGCACCCTGCATCCTGCCTGGCAGGTGGTGCCTCACCCCCTTTGGGCTCTGAGTAGCCTAAAGAGTGGGCGCATGGGGAAGGGACGCCTGCAGGGCCAAAGCTTTTCTGCTGGGCACGGTGACAAGTCCCAGTGCCACAGCCAGGGCTCCCGAAGGGTCTCCTGGGGTCTGGACATGCTCCCGATCCCTGTGCTGCACCCCTGGGGGGCCCAGGACTCTCCCGGACCATCTCAGCCCCTCGTCTGCACCACCCTGCTGAGCATCTCTGTCAGGGAACAAGGGCAGCTGTAGGGCTGCCAGGGACCGGCGGGAGAGCAGGGTCAAGTGCGTGCCACTGCGAGCTCGGCTATGACGGGCACCCCCCTCCCGCCCATGTCCCAGGGTGCCCTGGGCCATCTGCAGGCCCCACATGGTCCACCGCCCAGGGAGTGTGGTCCTGGCCGTGGTCTGGGGGACTCCCCTGCAGATGAGGACCCGCTGCTGCTCCAGGACCAACTGAGCCTCATGGGTGCTCTCAGACGACTTCCCAGACCTGCAGAGGCAGCTGCTGGCTGCACGGACTCCTGGTGCCAGCCTGGCTTTGACATCAGGGACCCAGCAGGTCCTGGATGGACTCTGAGTGCCGGGTCAGGGCCAGGTGGCTGCTTTGGAGGGATGTGTGGGGCAGAAGTATGTGACAGTCTTCCAGGGCGCGTGGCTGCCCTGGGCCACCAGGCAGCAAGGCTGGACACCGCGCCCAGGGACACGGCCTGGCATCTGACCTGCGAGGTGGCAGGTGGAGGTCAGGCCTCCCTGGAACCCTCCTCTCCACGCCTTGCTTCTAAGTTTGGTTCCTCGTCCCTGGAACGGGGTCGATTCTCCCTTCACGAGAGTGGTGTGGCCCCCCGTGGTACGACACAGGTGGAGTGGTGAGGGGCGGCTGGTTGTCATCACTCTTGTAACGTTAAACAGACAAAGGAAGGGTAGAGAGCCAGCAAGTGATGAGGGAGGGGCTGGTGCCGCCAGTCTCGGCTTGAGACCCCTGTGGGTTGGGGTGAGGACCCTGCACCAAGTCCAGGACTTCACTGTTTCTAGCTCTGTGCTCGGAAAGGGCCTCAACACGGTGACGTTCATCAGGACCAGGGAGCCCAGCCGTGAGATCTTGGTTTCTTTGTTTTGTTTTGTTTCTTTTCTTTTTTTCATTTTGTTTTGTTTTTTGAGACAGGGTCTGGCTATGTAGCCCAGGCTGGCCTTCAACTTGCAGTGATCCCTCTGCCTCGAGATCTTGATTTCTAAAAACCATTCTTTTCTTTTTCAGCAAAACATTTATTGGTATATTTTAGCCAAACACAATGATCACATTCCTCATAGGGAATCTGCGCCAGTACACAACATGTCTTGCTGCTCCTCTTTTTTCCCCATCCCCCCTTATGTACAAAAGCTTTGCTTCCACCTCTTCGGTTTTCTTTTTTTCTTGTCCCTTCCTATTTCCCAATGTCTATTGTACGTTTTAGTCCTCATTTCCACTTTCGGTTTCTCACGCCAGAGAAACAATGTGGTATTTAAACATGCATGCTTGATTTGCCTCACTTAAGAGTATGGTCTCAAGGTGCATCCATTTAGCTAGAAATGTCTCCAGCTCACCCTTCTTTATGGCAGAGTAGTACTCCATTGTCTAAAAAAACACATCTTTATCCATTCATCAGCTGATGGGCATTTGGGCTGTTTCCAAGCTTTAGCTATTATTAACTGTACTGCTACAAACATGGGTGTGCATATGTTGCTGTGGTATGATGCTTTTAATTCTTTCAGGAAGATACAAGAAGGAGAATGCCTGGGTCAAATGGAACCTCTAGTTTTAGTTTTTTGAGAAATCTCCACACTGATTTCCACAGTGGTTGCACCAGTCTGCACTCCCACCAACAGTGGAGAAGGGTTCCTTTCTCCCCACAGCCCTGCCAGCATTTGTTATTGGTTGATTCCTTTTTTTTTTTTTGTACTGGAGATCAAACTCAGGACCTTGTGCTTGTCAAGCAGGTACTATGCCACTGAGCTAAATCCCTGGTCCTGGTTGATTTCTTGATAGCAGCCATTCTTTCTGGGATGAGGTGGAATCTCAGTGCTGTTTTAATTTGCATTTCTTGAATGACCAGTGATGTTGAACATTTTTTCATATGTTTATTTGCTGTTTCTACTTCTTCATCTGAAAAGTGTCTGTTCATTTCAGATGCCCATTTTTGGACTGGGCCTTTAAATTTGGGGGAGGGGTCTGATTTTTTTTTTTAGTTCTTTATATATTCTAGATAGTAGTCCTTTGTCTGAGGAACAGCTGGCAAAAACTTTTTCTGCACTGTACTGAAGGCGCGCAGGCCCTGTGGAGAATGTTCTGAGCATGGCAATGAGGCCCGGGAGCACGGGGCCTGTGGTTCTTAAAATCATGAGTCTGTCCAATGCCCAGGGGAAGTGGAAAGTCCCTCACAGCTTGTCCCAGCTAGTAAATGAAAAGAAGGTGGTAAAATTGAAAATCACCATTTTGCAGCTACCATGGAAATAACTGATTCAGGTGGAGATCCTCTGGGGTTGCCGAGAAAGACACAAAACCCAAATCACCAACATGGGACAGGGAAGGAGCCATTGCCACTGAGCTACAGCCACTGACAGGGACTCGGCACATGCGTTTGACTACTTAGGTGTCATAGACCCAACTATTGAAAGACACCATTTGCTAAATGGTGCTAAACGGATGCTAAAATAAGTGTGGAGTTGAATATTCCTACGTCTGTACAATAAATTGAATCCATAGGTTGAAATTTTGCCCCCCACAAAGAAAGCATTCAGCCCCATGCTTCACTGGTGAATTCTTCCAAACGCTTGAGGGAGAATCACCCAGCCTCCCACAGCTCTCCTAGGAGATAGGAAGAAGGGGGTGTCCCAGCCTGCCTGCTCCAGCCAGCTACCAGGCAGAAGGGAAGACTAAAGTCCAACGTTCCTCATGAACGTAGATGCAGAAGTACTGACCAGGACACTGGCAACCAGCCAGCCGGGGTCCAAAAGGGTTGATCAGAAATGAGAAGACAGATTCAGGGCTGCTGGAAAATATTTGCAGAAGACAAATCTGAGAAGAGGCTGATACTCAAAATAGACAAATATCTCTTAAAACACAATATGAAGGGCCGGGGATTTAGCTCAGTGGTTCCACCACCTACCTTGCAACTGCAAGGTCCTGAGTTTGATCCCCGGTACCAAAAAAAAGAAACCACACAATAAGAAGATGGAACAACCCAACTGAAAGTGGGGCAAAAGGCTGGGAGTCACTTCACCAAGGAAAATAAAGATTAGAGAAATGCAAATTAGAACAACAGTGCGGTGCCTGGCTGGCCTGTCAGAACGGCCCAAATGCACAGGACCGCACACAGGTGCCGGGAGAGGTGACCAGGAGCTCTCATCCCTGCGGTGGGGACGGGAAGGGGCCCGCCGCTTGCTCCTCAGAAACTGCACGCACTCTTACCACAGGATCCAGCAGTTGTGCTTCTTAGCGTCTGCTCACCCAACAGAGCTGGAACCGTGTGTCCACAGACACTTGCACTCAGATGCCTGTGGCAGCTTTATTCACACAATTTACTCAAAACCTGGGGCCAACCAAGATGTCCTTCAGGAGGTGAGTGGATAAACACACTGGGTCCATCAAGACAATGGAATATTATTCAGGGTTGAAAAGACGTGAGGTTTAGCCAGGCATGGAGTGCATGTCTGTAGTCCCAGCACCTGGAATGCTGAGGCGGGAGGATGCTCGACCCCAGAAGTTCAGGGACAGCACGGCAACATGACGAGACCCCATCTCAAAACAAGTGAGGAGAAGGAAATAAGTTACTGACACTTGAAAACATAGAAGAAGCAAAAAACATGTCACTAAGTGAAGGAAGCCAGTCCAAAAAGGCTGTACATTGTGTGGTTCCAACTATGTGACCTTCTGGAAAAGGCAAAATTGTGGACACTGAAAAGAGTAGAGGTTGTCAGGGCTGAGGGGCAGGGACAGAACATTAAACGGCTTTCCTGTTGCTGGGACAAAATACCCAGCACCCATGACTTGGGGAGGGGAGGGTAATCTGGCTGTGGTTTCAGAGGGCTCGGTCTGTGGTCAGCTGCTCCAAGCAAGAGCACCATGGTGGGAGAGCGTGGGTGAGGAAAGCCACTCACCTCACAGCAGCCAGGGAGCAAAGCAGGGAACAGCACCAGAGCCGGGTGGCAGGCCCAGATATGGACCCGAGGTCGGCCCACACCCCACCCAGGTACACCCCGGAGCGTCCCCAGGCCCTCCTCTGGGCCCCGAGGCTTCACCAGGCCAGGGGCGGTGGGGCGCAAGGGACCTTTCAGGCAGGCGGGTCTTTCCCTAGGACAAGAGGGCGGTGGACAAGCCCCAGGAGCTCCTACCCAGCCCCACCATCCGCACAGCCCCGAGAGCAGCCTTTCTGTGGACCGCAGACTGCGTGACAGCAGTGTGTCCATGGGGCCAGCTGGCCAGGCAGATGCCCACTCTTGGGTGCCAGGATGGAAGTGAATGCTCAGTTCTCTTTTTCTTTCTTTTGTTTTTTGGTACCAGGGATTGAACTCGGGACCTTGCACTTTTGAGGCAGGCGGCGGAACCACTGAGCTAAATCCCTGGCCCTAAATGCTCAGTTTTCTTGTGAACCTGCAACTGCTCTTAAAAACATCAAGTCTGTCTTTTAAGAAAGTTAAATACACCATGATCAAGGGCGGTTTATTTCAGGAATTCCACATTGACTTAACATTCTGAGATCATCATAGCTTACCACCTTAACAGGATAAACAACAAAAGCTACTCTGTCACTCAGCATGTGAAACAGCTTCATAAAACTCAAACTTGCATGCCTGTAATCCCAGCACTCAGGAGGCTGAAGCAGGAGGATCGCTAGGAGTTTGAGGCCAGCCTGGGATATAAAATGAGTTCAAGACCAGCCCAAACCGCATAGCAAGAATCTGTCTCAAAAACAAACAAACAAACAAACAAACAAAACCCCAAACCTTATTCATAATAAAAACTCTCAGAAAACTACAAAGAGAAAGAAAGGGGAACTTCCTGAATAGAATCAAGAGTGTTACTTTTTTTAAAAGCCCAACAGGAAGTATCCTTTTTAAAAGTTTTATCGAGATATAATAAATACATCCCGAACCGCGCCTGGAGCGTAGCATTTTGTTTGTGTCGACTTGCGTGTTCTCCAGGAACATCACCGCGTCCCATCGGGCCCTGCAGCCCAGCCCAGCCCAGCCCTCCTGACCCACTTGTCCCCATCCCCACAGGGACCCTGGTTTGTCGCTAGATGCTTCTCCATGCCTGAGAACACCATACCAAAGAATGACATGGGTCGGGCTCTTCCGCCCGACAGTTATTCTGAGATTGCTGTGTTCCTGCTCCCCGTTACCACCGAAGGACACTGGTGGTTTCCATGGGGGCCGTCCCTGAGGGAGCTGGGTGCATGGACCCAGGCCCTGCGAACAGGGCGCCCAGGAGGCAGAGCCGGTCCTGTGTTGAATATGTTTAGTTTTTAAAGACGTCACCAGACCTTCTGGATTTCACTTGCCACCCCGCCTTGTGGGGCTCCGTGTCACTGCAGCTGTTCCCACGGGGGTGCAGTGGTAGTGCACTGGGGTTTGATTTGCGTTTTCTTAGTGACTGATGATACTGAGCAGATTTTCCTTTCCCTTGTGAAGTAGCTATTCAATCTCTCCACATTTTAGACTAGGCTATTATCATGTTAGGGAGTTTTGAGATTTTTAAAAATATATATTTTGGCTAGGCATGGTGGTGCACACATGTAATTCCAGCACTCAGGAAGCTGTGGCAGAAGGATCATGAGTTTGAGGGCAGCTGGGCAACATAGCAAGACCCCATCCCAAAGCGCGCGCACGCACACACACACACACACACGCATGTGTGCACACACGCGTTCTGAGTCTTATGTGTTACTTGTAAATAGTTTATCTTTTCATTCTCTTAACAGTGTCTTTCAATAAGTAAAAGTTCTTAATTTGTTGAACTCTGATTTATCAATTTTTTAATAAAATATTATGGACTGCCTTTTAGTGTTGTAGCTGAGAAATCTTTGCCTAACTCTTGAGCACAAACACCTCCTGTCCTTACTTTCAGAAGTTTCGTGATTTTAGGTTTTCATGTAGATCAATGCTGTTTCTGGGTGGACATACAGTCTGAGGGAGGGGTCAGCATTCTTGGTCGGTTAGCATGCAGGTCTCATTGGAACAGTGAGTTTGTCTTTCCCACTAAACTGCCTTTGCACCTTTGTAAACGTCAGCTGTCCACACAGGTCCAGCTGCACCTGCGGGTCCAGCTCCAGGCAGCCTGTCTGCTCTGTCCACCTGCCCGGTACCTACTCCACACCTTCTGGACCCGTGTACCTCACAAGAAGTCTTCAAGTCAGGTGCTGTTGGCCCTCCAACTCTGTTCTGTTCCTCTTTCTTTCTTTCTTTCTTTCTTTCTTTGTAAGTTGATTTGGTTATTTAAACCCTTTGCATTTGGGGTTGAATATTCAAATCAGGTTTTTAATTTCTACCTCAAATACAAATCCTCTGTGATTTGTATTGGTATTGCATTAAAATTAAAGATGACTTTGGGGAGAATTTAGTGTTCTGACCCATGAATGGGGCTCTCTCTCCACTTATTGAGGTCTTTGATTACCCTCAGAAATTTTTAATAAGGCCTCTACATATTTTGTCAAGTTTATCTCTAAGTATATCTGATGTTGGAAGTGATGTTCTTAGATTTCAATTTCCAGTTATTTGTTGCTAGTGTATAGAAACGCAATTGGTTTTTATGTGTCAACCCTTGTATTTTGTAGTTTTTGTAGGTATTTTGAATATGCCATAGGATTTTCAGCGAGGATAATTATGTCACCTACAAATTAGGAGTTTTATTTCGTCAGATCATTTGTTACCAAGTGGAAGGGAAGTGGGCAGAGTGGACATCGCTGTCTTGTCCCAGTATCAGGACCACGCTTCAGCCTTTCATTGTTGAGTGCTGTGTTACCTGAAGCCTGGGCATGTGCCCTTCAGCAAATTACAGAAGTTCCCTTCTTGGACAGTTCATTGAAAATTTTGATCAGGAAAGAATGTTAAATTTTGTAAATGCTTTTTCTGGAGCTATTAAGATCTTGTGGGTTGTCCATTTTGGACTATTAGTGGTGAACTGTACTACCTAACATTTCTATTTTTTTTTTTTTGGTACCAGGTATCAAACTCCAGACCTTGGGCTTGTGAGGCAGGTGGTGGAACCACTGAGCTAAATCCTGGGCCCTAACATTTCTAATTTTTTTTGTTTTGTTTTTTTGGTACGAGGGATTGAATTCAGGACCTTGCGCTTGCAAGGCAGGCTCCGGAACCACTGAGTTAAATCCCTGGCCCAACATTTCTAATGTTAAACCAGCCATCGTTCCTGGGATAAACCCATCATGGTTTAGTATCTTTTGGATGCCTTTTTTGGGGCTCAGTTTGCCTGTTTTTGTTAAGAATTTCTGCATCTATCCAAGTATAGTGGTGCACAGGAAGATCACAAGTTTGAGGCCAGCCTGAGCAACTTAACCATCCCATGTCTCAAAGTTTAAAACTAAAAAAAAAACAGTTCTGGGCCGGGGATTTAGCTCAGTGGTTCCACTGCCTGCCTTGCAACCGCAAGGACCCAAGTTCAATCCCTGGTACCAAAAGAATAAATAAATAAATTTTTAAAAATAAAAAGGTCCTGGGATATAGCTTAGTGGTAGAGTGCCCCTGGGTTCAATCCCAGTAGCAGAGGAGGGCAATTTCTGCACGTGTGTGACAGGTTTGTCATTGTCTTTTCTCATAATGCTTGTTTGTTTTGGGCATCAGAATAATGCTTGCTTCATAAAATGAGTTTGGAATTATTCCTTCCTTCTCAGTTTTCTGAAAGAGATTGTGTGGAACTGGTGTTATTTTAATTACAGATTCAATTCCTTGAATGTGGAGCTATCCAGGGTCCCCCTTTCTTTTTGATGAGCAATAGAGGTTTGTATTTCACAGAGCTCATCCATTTACTCTAAGTTCGCACACTTCCTGGCTTAGAGTTGCTCCTGATAGTCCCTGATTGCCCTTCTGCGCTGGACTCTGCGATGCCCCTTCTTCCACTCCCAGTGTCACTGATCTGTGACTTTCACTGTGGTGACCCCATGATCCATGTGGCTCCTCGGTCGGTCTCTATGGCCCAGTTTTCTCCGTGTTGTGGTCCCTACCCTTCCTCCCTGTGTGCTGGGGACCCTGCCCTGGTGACAGGCACTGTGGCTCTGACCTGCAGGGAGCTGGTTTTCCCTGGACTCTGGGCCGTGTCCTGTGTGCAGGTTTCCTGGGAGCAGCGAGCCTTGCGCTTCCTTTCAGCCTTGCCCAGTGGGACCAGGGCAGCGTGGAATCCGGGGGCAGCAGCATGCTGCATCAGCGGCACGGGCCTCGTCTGGCAATCGACGCCCTGCAAAGGAGGGTGTTTTCAAGCTCGAGCTTTGGGAGCAGGGGTTCATGTCTGGTGTGAGGCCTGGTAACATTTCTCTCCCACCTTGGGGGGTGACTTCCTCGGCGCTGGGCGGCTCCCCATGCCCCATGCTGGCTGAGGTCCAGGTAGGTTCTCAGGGGCCCTTGCTGGGTGCGTGTTCGGGCTCCGTGCTGCTTACCACACACCGGGCATGGGGCTTCCATGCCCTTTCCCAGCCTGGTCACTGCCTCAAGTGGCAGTGCCCAGTCCTTAGGAATTCCTGGGGGAGAGTGAGCTTGGGCCTGCTACTCTAGAGCATCACCTTTCTACTAAAGCCATCCACACGTATTCATGTCCGGGTGATGGGGTTCGCTGTGATAGTCCCACACATGCACACGCTGTCCTTTGATCATGTTTGTCCACCTCAGGAAGAGGCATATTTAATGACTTCGAGAACAAGAATGGAGCAGCTGTTGGCACCACTTCCACAGCACACCGGGATCCCAGTCGGGCAAGAAGTCCAAAGTATGAGAGTTGGTACCGTGAAAAAAGGCTGTTTCCAAACATGAGTTTGTACGTAGGAAACACCTACAGGAAGCTGTTGGAATTAGCAGGTACACTGGGTGAGATCACGGGCTGCCAGGTAAACTCGTGTGAACAGTTGTATTCCTTGATCCTTGCAATAAAGATTCCTCAACAGGATGTGAAAATCGCTCGGGATAAGGGAAGAGATTGGCCGGTCTGACTCAGACCAATAACTTCTGTGCAAGCAAGGACATCTGTGAGGCCCAGAAGCACTGTTTGCTGCACACCACTTACAGCTCTGCACTGGAGCAGAAAGCACTCACACGAGACCCCCAAAGCAAACACACAGCAGAAGACGAGCCAGTCTGCACGTGAGCAGGACCTGGGCCACACTCCCCAGAGCACCTGAACAACTGCTCAGCACAACCCGCCAGGGAGATGCAAACTAAACCATGAAGAAAGATCCCCGACCCATCAGCCAGCACGCCGGGCTGGCACAGTGGGCGTGGCTCAGACCCAGAGCAGCACAAAGGTACCCTGCCCGAGCAGGTGAGTGTGCCGGGGAAACGCTTCACAGTGTGCGTCCGACCCAGAGCAGCGCCAACCCCATCACTCCTGGCGTTTGCTCCAGAGAAGTGGGGATGGGCCAGCGATGTAGCTCAGTGGTTCCGCTACCTGCCTCACAAGCGAAAGGACCCTAGTTCAATCCCTGGCACCAAAAAGAGAGAGAGAGAGAGAGAAGTGCAGAGCAGCTGCATCCATGAAGCTTTCTCCTCAGCCACCTGAGCCTGGAGCCACCACACACCGCAGCCAAGGAGGGGCTGGGGGTGTGCTCCTCAGGCCTAGCCGAGCAAGGGCACAGTGGGACATCAGCACTGGTCACAGGTGCAGGGAGCAGGGACCAGCAGGTGGCTCGGGAGGCTGCTGAGAGCTGGAGTGTTCCACGGAGAAGTTTAGGCAGCAGGTCTGCGGGGCGCAGGCGCCTTCGATTTCTGCACCGTGCCCTAGGTCAGCCAGGCCTCAATGAACAATTTAGGGTTTAAAATGGCAGCTGAGTGCAAGCATTCACTGCCTCTCTAAAATGAGGGAGAGCTTTTAAGAGAGGTGCTGGGTGGCCAGGCAGTGACTGCTGACCGTGAGTCCTCTACGTGTGCCTCAGAGCTAGGAGGGCTGGCAGCTGGAGGCCCGGGGCCTCAGAGCAGGGGGGCTGAAGTGGGGTCTCAGAGGCTTTCTGCAGAGCAGGTATCTGGCACTGCCGAGGACAGGACAGAGGCCGTGGATGTCTGTTTTCTGTTGCTCTAACGAAATACTCGAAGCTGGGTACTGAACAAGTTTTACTGAGCTCACAGTTTTGAGAGCTGAAAGTCCACAGTCCGGCACCTGCTGGTCGGATTTGGCACCTCATTCCCTGGCATGGTAAGGGCTGGTTCCCGGACCACCCCACTCCTCAAAGCCTCTCTCACAGCACTGCAACCACACCAGACCACAGCAGGCTGGCGCCGAGCCTGGCCTCACGGCCCGCACCCCAGCAGCTGCGTGGATGCATCTCTGCCCGGGCTCCTGGCTGCGACCACCCTTGAGAGCTCAGACCCCCTCAGACACAGCAGCCTTGAGGTGTGGCTGGCACGCGCGCGGCACACAGACCCCCAAGCCAGGCCTCAGGAGCGGGAGACAAGGCGTGAGCCAGAGCTGTGAACAGCTTGGAGAGGTGCCAGGGCACCGAAGAGGCCCAGGCCCTGGGATGCCTCTGGCAGACAAGTGTGGCTGCACACGAAGAGCTCAGTGAGGGTTGGGGCAGTCGGTCTGCAGGTGTCTTCCCAAAGGTGGTGAAAAAGAAGTAAGCAGAGAAAAGGAAACTGGGGAAGGTTTTAAAGATTAGATTCTGTCAAGGAGGTGCAGCGTCCAGAGGACAGCAGCCCCAGGTAGAGCAAGCACGGGACGGAGCCAGGAGACAGCGGAGATGGAGCAGGGGTGGAAGGTAGGGAGGCCCAGGCAGAGACGCAGAGGCTGCACTGCACAGCGCCAAGGCCCTCAGGGCCTCCAGGGGAGCAGGCCCCACTGCGCAGGAGAGGCCTCAGCATCCCTGCTGCAGTTCCTGGTGTCGGCCCAGAGCCACAGCTCTGAGCTTCCCTGTCATTTCCACGGTGCTTTCAGCGGCTTTGCTCAGGGACAGCCAGGAGAGGGGGCCTCGGTGGGTGTGGGAGAGGCACGGTGGATCCTGATCACCCTAGGAGGAGAAGTTGGTCCTCACAGCCATAGGGATGTGAAGGGGGAGGGAACAAAACCAACAGCCCCAGCTAAGTGTCCCCGGACAGCAGTAGGGTGGCTCCACAGTGGCCTGCAAGTGCAGCCTGTGTGAGTCTGACCACTGTCTTGGGGGGTGGCGTTGCCTGTGCTACGAGTGGTTTGTGGAGGAGCGTGTGCACTGGGGACCCATGGGGACCCCCGCTGGCGCCAGGCCCAGGCTGGGCAGCTCCGGGCAGTCAGACCCCTCTGCACATGCCACCAAGGCCCACGTGCTGCCAGGCAGGAGGCCATGCGGGCCTGGCAGGGAACTCCAGGCTGCTAGGGACGGGGCTGCCAGTTTCCTTGGCAGAAAAGTATATCTCTTTAAACTTTTTTTTTTTTTTTGGTACCAGGGATCGAACTCAGGACCTTGTGCTTTCAAGGAAGGCGGCAGAACCACTGAGCTAAATCCCCAGCCCTCAGAAAAGCATATCTCAAGGAAACCGGGCCAACCACGAGGAGGTGAGCAATTGCCCCATCTGCCACCAGGACCTCAGGAAGCTGGGTTAGTCCAGTGGGGCTGAGTCCTGGGTGGTCCCGTGCGTGCCTGTCCACGCACATGGTGCCTGGCCTCCACGGCCCCAGGGGTGGACATGTGCCAGGGAGCCACATGATGGGAGCGGGGTCCTCTTGTGGACAGGACCACAAGGCCTGGGGCTTAGGGATGCTGTGTGCACACAGGCAGGGTACAGCACACGCAGGCACACGGAAGCTGTACTGCCACAGAGCCATCCTTGGGTGCCGTGCTGCATGTGCAGGACGTGGCTGGGCGGCAGAGGGTGGCACTGGGCCGGGGTAGCACTGGGCAGTGGGGAGGCAGCATGAGTCACCAGAGAGAAATGCACGCACCTGGGGTGCAGTCTAGAAGGCCAGTCCCCTTGAGTGCCAAGGTCAAGCCAGCCGGAAGCGCAGTGGACATCCTGAAGAATGTGGAGGAGTTTCCACACATTGTCGTCCACGTGAGAACCCACAGCCTGGGGGGAAGCAGACACCTCGGGCTGCTGGGGGAGCTGAAGCCGTCTGGGCAGATGGCTCTGGGGGCAGCAGGGCTCTGCAGGGACACTGAGCCCACAGGGGCCAGAGGTCATGAGGGCAAGGGGCCCCACGTCCTGGGGGTCTCACGGGCCAGCCTGTAGCCTAATGGTCCTGAGAAGCCGGGGGAGGCCCCAGGGACCCCTCGGCACCCGGCCCAGCTTGGCCTTCACTTGCTGGGGTCACTGCCCTGAGCTGGGCACTGGACGGGGACAGCCAGCCATGAGGGCAAGGTCTCTGGGCCTCCCTGGTTACGGCACAGCCCCCTCCTCCCCAAGGGCAGATGATGGGAGAGAAGAGCCGGCGTGGGCCCCCTGGGCAGAGGGAGCAGCAACAAGGCCAGCCCAGTGTCCTGGAGAGCAGGTCTGACCTCGAATCTAGGGCCTTGGACAGAGAGGGAGCACGGAGCAGGCAGCCTGGTCCCCTGGCCTTGCCCACTGAGCCCAGGTGGACGGCCCTGCTCTGGGAACTCTGCAGTCGCCCCCACAGGGCCTGGTGGAGGAGAGGCCCTGGCCACAGGAGCCACTCTTGCAGATGGTGGCCACTCACACCGACCCTGCCACGGCTGCCTAGTGTGCCCTGGGCCTCTCGCTACCCCAGGTGGTGGCCGCAGAGCTAAGCCGACTCAGGCTCCAGAGCAGGTGAGGGCCCCACAGATTCACGACAGCAGCTCCACAGATTGGGGCAGGTGCGGGTCCACCCCAGGGAGCAGGCGACAGGAGGTGCTGAGGGGCGTGGTTGGGGTTCACCAGCTCTCCCCCTTCCAGGGTGGCCAAGGCTAACCCTGGGCCACAGGGGACACAAGGGGCTATAAGCAGCTACACATGGGTGGGGACAACATCCACCTGCTGGCCTGATGGGAGGACCTGGCCAGGCATGAGGCCACACTCCTGGAGGTGGGCACAATGCTCACCGGAGTGGGTGGAAAGGCCTCTGGCGTTGGTCCAAACCTGACCCTGTTGGCCTCACCTCCGACCTTACCCTCCACCTGTCCCCAGAGTGCCCCAGCCAGCCACTGTGGTAATTACCACGGTGAGGCATTACCAGGCCCCAGCTGGCCTGCAAAGGGGCAGCCAGGCCTCCCTCCTCTGCTGCAGCTGCATGGAGCCTGGGCCACGTCCTGTCACGCCTGCCCGGGCTCATGAGCCCTGAACCTTCTGGTGCTGGGCAGCACCCTGGGTTGACTGAGCATCTCTCTGCCTGGGACTGGTGGCTGCCCCTCGAGGAACAGCTCCTCTATGCAGGTGCTGGTGTACAGCCCACGCCCCTCTTCCCTTGCCCTGCCCTGAGGCTGACCTTGCCCTTAGCTGCCAATGCCCACTGCCTGCTGAGATGCACCGAGCCCTGGGTGAGAACCCCACCACTTCCCACCACCTGGGGGTCCCTGGAGCCGCTGGGCAGGCAAAGGTCTCAGTCACACCCAGGCGAGTGAGTGAAACCTCCCTCTGCCTTCACCGGGACTCGGGAGGCCACTGCCAGCACGGCACAGTGGGCAGCGGCAGCTGACTTCCCAGCCCACCATGATGGGCTCCTGATAGGACCACTGTGCACCCCATGGTGCCTTGCGGGGTGCCCTGGGGACCAAGCCCCTCACCCAGCTTACACGGGGGGCTCTGAAATGACCAGGGCCGGCACAGGCCTTCCATGCAGCGTGTGACGGCCTGCTGCAGGGGCTGGGGCGGAGCCTTGCTGCTGGGTGTGGACGCAGCCTGCTGGGCAATGGCAGAGCTGCCAAGGTGAGCAGGAGGGAGGGCCAGGCCCCCCGGCCGGGGTTGGGCAGGGTGAGTGGCAGAGAACCGTCAGGGTGCCACTTTTCACTTGAAATCCCAAGGAGGGAGATGGAGTCCTGTTGACAGTGGCTTCGGCAGAGGCTGAAGGCAGCACTGCAGCCAGACCCTGGGCTGGCACTGAGGCCTCAGAGCCTCAGACAGCAGGGACTTAGTCCAGCTCTGTCCCCGGCTGCAGCACTGGCTGCTTCCCAACAGCACTGCTCAGGAGGTGCCCAAGTACCCAGGCCTCTGGCCTGAGCCCATGCTGACTTACAAGGACTCGGTCTCCATCAGCTTTTGGATGCTACAAAGAAACACCCAAGGGAGGCTGCTTATGAAGAAAGCAGATTTATTTAGGTCATGGTCTGGGAGCATCAAAGTGCATGTTCACGTGGTCCCCTCCGCTCTACCTCTGGTGAGAATGCTGACAGTGTTCTTCTGCTCTAGGAGTGAGGGTTGAGGGTAACGAGCAGAGAGGAGCTGGTGGGCCAGGCTGGGTGCCACTGTGGTCCTTGTGAGAACCGCTCAGGGTCTCACTGACCCCAGGGGGCCCCCAGGCCCTAATTCTTAAAGGTTCCACCCTGAAGGCCAGGCCTCACACACATGGAGCTCTGGGGACACCACAGCAGCCACCTCTGAACCTCGGTGTCCACGGCAGCATAGGCACCTGAGGACAGGGACACCTTGAGCTGTCCCTGCTCGGAGCTGGGTGGGACAGGGTCTGCCAGCCTAGAGCCAGCCCAGCCCTGGGACCAGCAGGACCTGCGTGGGCCCAGCCCGGCCTGGCCCCTGCCAGAAGGATTTGCACATAAGACCAGAGGCCTGACCGTGGGCCTTAGCCAGATGCCTGGTAGCCAACCTGCAGGAGAGGGGCTGTCTCGCTCCGTGGCTCAGGGAATGCTGGAGCAGAAGGTGACATCAGGGGGTTTCTGAGCTTCGGCCATGGTGCCTCTGTTGGCCTGGGCACGTGGAAGAGGCCACAGGTCAGGAACCGGGACCACACCCCAGAGCCACAGAACCGAAGCTCAGCCAACATCCACAGGCACCTGAAGAAGCAGGTTCTTCCCCCGGCTCTGAACAAGAGCGCTGCCACCCACAGCCACACCAGCCTGGGCGCCACACAGCATTGCGGAAGTGATGCAGATCCGGTCCTGGGTGGGCACTGCCATCACAGGAGCTGGCTGTGTGGCAATGGCTTTGGCTGAAACAGCGGACAGAGCCGAGAATGTCCTTCCTGGTCCCTGTAAAAACCCAGATGGCCTCAGACAGGCGGCAGAGAACAGAGGAGGGTGGAAACATGGGCATCCAGGAAAGAGGAGCGGGGTCAGCGAGAGCAGGGAGCAGAGAGGACCTGATGGGAAAGCTGATGATGTGAAGGCCCCCGCTGGGCGAGAGGCGCCCAGCATCCCAGTGTGGGGTGTGGCCAGGTGGTGCACGTGTCCACGATGCAAACCTGCAGCCCTGGGGGAGGGTGCTCCGGAGCCCTCTGCTCCATGCTTCTGCAAAGCGGGGCTCTGCCTGCACCCTGACTGCTGTCCCTGGGCACATGGGCCTTCGCACAAATGTGAGCTTGCTCAGGTGCCTCCCGTGTGCTCCCAGGTCCGGACAGGGCTCTCTGGGCCCTGTCTGCAGAGAACGCTCTTAACGAGGGAAGCTGCTGCCCCCTTCAGATGGCCCAGTTTCCTTCCAAGCCACGAGTTTCCTCAGTAACCCTGGAAATGAGCTAGGGACTGTGGTAAACGGGGGCTCACCTGGGTTTCATCTTCTGTGCCTTTCATGGATAATACCAATAGATACATAAGAAAAAGTAAAGAGGGCCAGGGATTTAGCTCAGTGGTTCCAGCGCCTGCCTCATAAGTACAAGGTCCCGAGTTCTATCCCCGGTACCAAAAAAAAAAGAAAAAAGAAAAAAGAAAGAAAGCATTCCCCGTGAGAGGTATGTCATTGGCCGCTGGAGGAAGCAGGGACCGCCCATCAGGGCCTGGATGAGGGGCACGGCACTCGGCCGTGGGTAGAGGGCAGAGCCAACCTCTCCACCCGGGCTGGACTCTATGGGGGTCCGGACTGCTTCTGCATGCCGTATGCTCTGGGTGGCTTCTGGGCCTGGGGCAGCACCGAAGGGTTAAGCAGAATTTGCCCGTGGACAGCCTGCTCGGTAGGTGTCAGGACTGCCTCCTGGCCCCAGTGATCCTGTAAGCCAGTTCTTCAGGCAAATCTGTCCCGGGCGTCTCCTATACTTCTGCATCTCTGACCCCCTTGACTCCCCCAGAGTGGCCCCAGGGAAAGTCCTGCAGAGGGGCTCTCTGTCACTCTGGGGCTTTTGGAGTCGGTTCTCACAGCCACGAGTCTGCTGTTGCCATGACAAAGTGCCTGAGGCGGGTACTAGGTAGGCATTCAGATGTTCTGAGCTTTTGTACAGGAGGGTCCAGCATGGCCAGGCAGCCAGGCCCGTGGGAGGGTGTGCAAGGGCCATGTGGAAGCCA